GTTTGCCCACCCACTAGCATCTGGTCTCTACTATTTTTCCAGCAGTGGCCTCAGGGTTTGTTAGTGGTTCTCCCTCTCCCACTCCCAAGTCCATGTGGTTGGGGTGGGTATTTTCAACTCTAAGAATGGAACCCATTAGCCAGGCCACAACCACTTTGAGCAATGGCCTTCCCTTAGTTGTAGTGGTTGGTCCAGGAATGGTTGTGTGATCTGAACAAGTCTTTCTAAATCTTAAGACTTTTATGAGCTTGAGCCAAAAAAAAAAAAAAAAAAAAGTCGAGTCTTTCAAGGAACTCAGGAGATGCGCAAGCAGAACTGCTGCTGGTGTCTTGCCACCAGGCTAGGGTGAAAGGCTGAAGCTAACATAGTTTAAGGGAGACCTGAGTGAGATGGAGAGGCTAAATCCTAAGGGCATGGGACCTGAGTAGAGCTGTTTCTAAAGCCATTCCTCCTCTCTGACCATCATATTAAATGAGCCATTAAATTTTCTGCTTTTCCTTACGGTATCTGAGGTTTATTTTTCTTTGGTCTCTCAAAATAGAAAGTGTCCTAACAAATACGATGTTTGTATTACTTACTTTGAACATATTATCTTGTGCATTTTTGTCCTGTATTACATTTTAAACTATAACTATGTAAGTGCCTAGATCATAGTAGATTCTCAGCCAGTGTTCTTATGCTTATCAACTCCTACATTATCACTATCATTCATATTATTCAGTATTTTTGTTTCTGAATGTCTTGTCTTCCCAATTAATCATATTTGTTGATGCGTTTTTATTCATACATCTATCAGTTACTTATTGTGCAAGGCACCAAGGATCCAATACTGAGTAAAAGCAAACATGTCCTTGGACAGTATAATAGGGGAGTTTGAAATTAAATGATCACATAAATAAGTGTAATATTGCTAAAATGAAAGACAGCGCAGAGACTAGTGATAGCAAAGTGTATGTAGTAGGGGGTCTTGCCGTAGTTGGAGAGGTCAGGAAGGGATTTTCTAGGCTAATAACAGTGGCATGGGAATCTGAAGGATGGGTAGGAGTCAACTAAATTAAAAGCCAGAGTGGAAAAGATTTTCTAGTCAGGAGGAACAGCATGAACCAACTAAGGCTCATAGTAGGCAGATAACACAGTACATTTTGTGAACTGATAAAAGGCTAATCCAGCAAAGGATGGACTATGAGAGGATCTCATTTCTTTTTCTTTTTCTTTCTTTCTTTCTTTCTTTCTTTCTTTCTTTCTTTCTTTCTTTCTTTCTCTCTCTCTCTCTCTCTCTCTCTTTCTTTCTTTCTCTTCTTTCTTTCTTTCTTTTTTTTGGTGTGTGTTAAGAGCAGTGGTAAAGCATGGCATGTGTGTGTATGTAGCAGGACATATGTGGAAGGTAAGATGATTAGATAGGAATTTAGAAAATGTCACACTGGTTGCCATGTAGAGAATGCATAGGAGTGAGTGCGGAGCTTGCTGGTAGATAGGGCAGCGCAAGTAGATAACCATTGCAATCATCTAGGGAAATACTACTGTATCTGGAGAAGGAGGTAAGTGGACAGATTAGAGGTATAGCAAGGAGATAAAAGCAGTAGGACTTGGGGTTGTACTTTAATAAAAAGTTATACTCTGACCTCACCTTTAAAGAACAGTCAAGGGATCTGGAAAAATTGTAAATTCTAAATACAATCTGATAAATGTCCTATTGATAGTATGGACACAAGATCATGGTTTGGAAGCCCTGGGAAAGTCTTGCAAAGGCTTTACAGAGGCATCAACATTTAATCTGGACCCTGGAGGACTAGCAGGATTTCTTTTCCAATTTCAAGTGAAGTTTTAGGCAGAGGGCCAGCGTCTACATGAGATGAGTGTGAAAATATATTTAATAATGAATTAACTAATTCACCTGTAACTATTGTTTGATCCTGCTATGTACCAAGCATTGTCCAAAGAACCAGTCATCACACTCTAAATAAGTATGATGCCTGGTAATGATAATGCTTGGGAAATGGCAAATTTTCTGTCTGATGAGACTGTGGGGAATGCAGTACACATGGTGGAAATATAAAAGGCTTTGTGTTTTGTGCCAGGCACTTAAGACTAAATCCTATGGCAGTGAGACTCCTTCCAGTTTCTTCTGCAAGAGAGTTTGGGCAGTGTGGGTCTGGCAGCAGGGAGTTAGGGAGACTGGAGCTGGGGTAGGTGTGACAGCCTCATGTAACAGGCTATCTAGGTGTTGATGAGACTTCAGACCTAAGAGCATGTGATCGCAGCAGGAGTGAGAGAAGGGCTGGATTCCAGGGATGTTTTTAAGGAAGAGTCAATAGGACTGGAAAAGGATTTAGGTATAACAGATAGAAAGTGAAGGGATATTTTGAACTTTCCTTTTCGGGAATCTAGGCAGGTGGTAATGTTGGGCAATATGGAAAGATGAGAAATTTAAGCTTAAAGACAATGAGCTAGTCTGGATATATTAAACTTGCACTAGTTGTTTGATTAGGTAGAGATGTTTAGGAGTTTATTTCAAAACAAGAATTATGGCCTCAAAAGAGAGATGGGAGTGCATTGAAGGTCCAGGAGCCCTCACAGTAAGACATCTTTTGATAAATAATATAAAAAGAGAAAAATATAAAAAGGAAAATGGTCAAAATGGAGCCCTGGAATATCTGAATATTTGAGAGGCAGCTGACGAACAAGAAAGTTGGAAAGAACTGTCTATGGAGTAGTGTGGGAGTCTAGCAGAGTGGACAGAAGGGTGTGGTGTCACTGAAGTTAAAAGGGGAATAACTATTAGGAAGAATGGTAGGAATAGTCAATGACATCAAAAGCTGTGTATAAGTTAAGTACAAAGAACACAAAGTAGAAGTCACGAGATCTGGCAGTTCCATCATGGTGTTGGGATCTTTCATAGAATAACTACATGCTGTTAGAGAATTTATGGTCCAATAGCAAGAGGGCTGGCTGAGGAGTGAGGGAAAGGAAAGGACAAGGGGGCAGTTCACAAGAGTGGGAGTGGCAAGAAAGAGGAGAGGTAAAACTTTGCCACACATGCAGAATGAATGAAAGGGATTTTATGATTCATGGAGAGGGAGATATTGAAGAGGAAGCCAATACTTACTAAGTTCAGGAAACTGACTAAAAACCAGATGAAGAACAGAAATACAGGAGGTAGGTCAGGAAAGGAGATGAGAACTCATCACTGACCAAGAACAGAAGGTGAGACAATGGATGAAGGGAAGCATAGAGACTGAAGGGTACAGTCTATTTAGAGTTCAGTTCGGTGCCTGGCCTTCTATTACAGAATGTTTTTGAAGCCTTAGGACATAAAAAGTGTTGGGGGGAAAAAAAGAGATTGCTTTAATTTTATTTCAGGCACCTCACTGTGTCAGTATGGGCTGATTAATAAAGATGTGAGCTAGAAATGGACAAGCTGTGTTTGAGGAAGTTAAGGTGTTTTTGAGCCAGCTGCCCTGTCTCTGGGATTATTGTTGTATCAGCTCAGTTTAACGATTTATGTCACTACTGGAAGGTCCCGTTTGATGCTGAACACCCAATAAGGAGTCAATTACACCTGCTGGATTGAATTTGCTTAAGGTTGGTTATTTGTAGTATCTGGTCTTTCTGTCTTTAGAACAATATCCATGCACTTATAGGGCTGCATGGGGACAAGGCATATCTGATAAGTGACATTTTGTTCATGTCCCTTCCAGACAGGGCAATGGCTAACCCATCCAGGAATACATCTTGAGCAGAAAGCTCTCCAACCCTATTGGATCTTTGTTTCCTTTGGTGAGCCCTGCTCCAAAGAGTGCCCCATCTCCCAATTCCTGTGAACATCGACTGTCCTCAAAAAGGTAAACCTGGAAGACAACAGGTTTTAAACTGGGCTCTCATCCAACTGAGGATCCTTACACTTAGAAATTAGAGATCACAGAAGTCATCTCCTTCTTTTAAAACTCCTTCCTTAACCCACAGATGGGGAAACCAAGGCCCCGTGAAATACACTGATTTATTCAAGGTCAAACAGTAAGTTTATATTAAAGTTAGCTCTCCGAAGTAGGATTCTGAACATCGTCTTCCAAGCAGGTGATGTAATTGCTGGGACAGATTGCCACTCTTTCTGCTTTATGTTTCCTTCATTAATGGATTTCTTTCTTGCTTCCTCAGACTTCAACAAGTATTTTTAAACGAGGGTGAAAGAACTGAGAGAAAAAATTGAGTGGCTTTAAGAAAGAGAAATGCATGTGACCTGGGGGGTTGCTTTCTTCTTACAATGAAAAAAAAATTGTTCCCTTCTGTGTAATCCATCTATCTGTTGCTATATTTATTGGTGTTTAAGTTCTGGCTGCCACTGTGGTAAAGAAAAGATTTTCCTGGCCCTTGAGGCCTGGGAGATGGGATCAAGAGCCTTCAAAGGAAGAGTGGGTTACTTTAAACATGGCAGATTTTATTCTGCTTTTTCCTACTGTGCCTCATTTTGCGAAAAGCCTACTTGGGGAGACCCCTACAGTAAACTAGTTCAGTAAGGAGTGAATGTTTGCATTAGCAAAGAAGTCTTCTCTTCAAAGGAAATCTCCTTCAGTGCTCTGAACTTTCCTAATGCTTTTAAATGTTGATAAATCAGTTACCACTTGTCAGCATGGCTTGGAAGAGAGAAGTCTAGAAAATCTCAAACACAAATGTTAGGCCCTGCTGTCAATTAAAAATTAATCAGAAATAATAATATCCCTGAAAAAGAATGAGTATCAGCTTTGGTTTATAAAAGTTACACTCACAGGTACTTCGGAGCAACACTTTAGAGAAGAAAAAGTGAGGATTGCTTAGATTGATCTTATGTTCATTTCAACAGCTGCACTCTGAAAGATTGCCCGTTATTAGGAAAGAAAAATGGGATGGGGTGCAGAAGGTTTTTCTGGCTTCTAAGCACAGAACACCACGCTGGATGTGATGTGAGGCTGCTGCCCACAGCCCAGTTGAGGCACTCACACACACTCACATTGTTGGGTACGTACATTTTCTCCAGGTCCCCAAATCCAGAAAATGCTCCTTTTGGGATGACTCGAAGCTTGGTGAGGACAAACCTCCTGAAAAAAGAGTGAACATAAAATATCACAGCCTGTTCTTTCACTAATTGGGAGCCTACTGTATAATATCAGTCAATAGCCAACATACACTAAGTGTAGTCATTTTAGTAGTTGTTGCAATTGCTTTTACATGATCTCTCTTCATCCTCACCACAAAGCAGTGACCCTCATTTTGCATAAGAAGAAACAGGTTTAGTGAGGTTAATAGATTTGCCCAGGGTCACTTGGCTGATCAATGGCAGAGCTGGAATATGAACCCTCTCATCAGTGCTCCATGTTGCCCCCTGTAGCCTTCTGCGAGGTCCATTCTCTTACACCAACCCCCCAAACCTCTTCTCTTATTATCATTCTTAGTTGACCTTGCTTCCTATTTCAAAGAGAAAATGAACCCAGTACAAGAGAACGGTGTTCATGCCCTCCCGTGACTTGCAGCCATTAAATCATCTGCACCTGTGCTTGTACACCCTTGCCTTCCCTCCCATTACCATGCATGACTGGGACCTTGGACCTGGCTAAGAACAGCCCCTCCAATCCATATCAGACCTCTTCTCTCTTCTAGTAGAAGTAACCACTATAGCAATTTTCCCCCTTCTTGCGTACATTTTATTCGGCTATTTTTGCTTTTCTACTGGATCCTGCCCATCACTGTACAAACATGCCATAATTTATTTCATCAAAAACAAAACAAAACAACCCTCTACCCTTAACCTCAGCCACCTTCAGTTTTTGCGGTTTTCTTCTACTTGAAATATTTGTCTAATCCTGCCTCCGAATTTCTTCCAATGGCTCCTCATCTCAGTCAGGAAAACCCCACAGTATATACAGTGATGTGTGGGACCCTCTGGCATCTTCCTACTCACCCTTTCCATGGACCCTCTACCCTCCATTTTGATAGCTTTCCCCTTATCCTGTTCTCATTGCAGTACTCTCTCGCTTGTTCTTGGACTTGCCAGGTTCCTTCTTGCCTGTGTTTCTACCATTTGCAATTCTCTCTGCCTTGAGCGCTCTTCTCTCAGATATCTTCATGGAAGCCTCATGGCTTCCTCCTTAGCCTGCTGTTTGCTCAAATGTCACTTGCTTAGTGATACTTTTTCTTACCATCCTATTTAAAATGACAGTCTCCCCGTCTTAGGCCCTGGCCCCCTTTCCTGCTCAGATTTTTTCTTCACAGCACTCTGACATGTTGTATATTAATTTTTTTAAATGTATTTGTGTATTTATCTCTAACCTGTAACTAGAATACAAACTCTGTGAGGGCAGGAATTTTTGCTACTGTATACCAAATGCCCTAGAACATTGCCTGGTATATGACAAGTACTGAAAATTTTTTTCTTAAATGGCTATTAATCAGTCTAAGAATTCTAATCTTGAGGGTAGAATTATAAGTGATCCTTCTGGAATCTCTACAATAGTGAAACACTGAGGATTTGGGTAGTTGTGCAAACCTTCATTGCTTCAATTTCCTGTTACTGATGTTAGTGAAACTCCTGTTACAGATAAAGTTATTCAGGCAAACAGTTGTTTATTTTAACTGTTTGCCTTTGGCTGTCATGTGCACCAGCTCTATGGGGAGGAAGTATGGGAGAAAATCTTAAGCTCTAGAGGAGTTTATATATGTGGAAAGATAAGGCCAGAAACTTTGGAATCACCAGAAAATGGTTGTGGGATACAGTTGATGTAATAACTATAAATATTATGCAAGTATCAAAGTGAGACAAGACTCCAAAGTACATATATATATTTAAAAAAAATTGGAAGAATTGGATGATTTTGAGCCTGGGTCTTAAAACCGTCAGGTCATACTAAAGAAATAGTCTATAGGAAACCATTTAGATAAAAAGGGATCTCAATTAGGATGGGGGCAATGTGTCTGGAAGAGTGTCAACTTCTAGAACTCCTATCTGAAAAGAATCAAGGTCAAGGTACTTATTTAATCTTAGTTAACACAGACAAGTTCCTTTTGTACCTATTTATTACAAGACAGAGAATAATGAAAACAAACTAGAAAAAAGCAAGTAATAAGTCAACTACATAGGCTTTTTAAATTTCACCCTAGTAGCAGAACACATTTCTTTTTTTTTTTCTTTTTATTATTAATTAATTTATGGGTTTCAATTTACCAACATACAAAAAACACCAAGTGCTCATCCCGTCCAAGGTGTCCCCCTCCGTGCCCGTCACCCATCTCCCCCACCCCCCGCCCTCCTCCCCTTCCACCAACCCCTAGTTTACATTTCCCAGAGTTAGAAGTACTTTTATGTCTGTGTCCCTTTCTGATATCTCCCACACATTTCTTCTCCCTTCCCTTATATTCCCCTTCAATATTATTCATATTCCCAAATAAGTGAAACTACACTGTTTGTCCTTCTCGATGACTTACTTCAACTCAGCATAATACCCTCCATTCCATCCACGTTGAAGCAAATGGTGGTATTTGTTGTTTCTGAATGGCTGAGAAAATCCATTGTAACACAAACACCCCATCTTCTTTATCCATTTCATCTTTCGATGGCACCGAGGCTCCTTCCACAGTTGGCTATTTGGACATGGCCTGCTAGAAACATCGGGGTGCAGGTGCCCCGGCGTTTCATTGCATCTGAACATCGGGTAAATCCCTTAACAGTGCAATTGCTGGTCGAAGGGGCAGGTCCCTATTTTTACTTCTTTGAGGAACCTCCACACAGTGTTTCCGAGTGGCTGCACCAGTTCACATCCCACCAACAGTGTAAGTAGGTTTCCCTTTATTCTCGCGCATCCTCTCCAACATATTTGTTTCCTGCTTGTTAATTTTACCCCATATCTCACAGGTGTGAGGGTGTATCTCATTGTGGTTTTTGATTTGTATTCCCGATGGCAAGTGATCCAGAGCATTTTCTCATGTGCATGTTGGCCATTTCTATGTCACCTCAGTAGATTTCTCTTCATGGAACCACATTTCTAAAATATTCAAACACCTATTCCTGTACTAAATGTTTCAAACTTATTAACATAATTAAATTTTATTTTGAAGATTAAAAGTCTTGACTTCCATTTCTTGAAATGTTATAAACTAGATAACCTGAAGATATTTCCACTAAAAATTACCCAGAAGTCTTCTATAAGTCATAACAAATGTTGTTTTAATTGGACAGTTGAACTTACAAGGAAGTATGAGAAAATCCCAAGGGGCTCAAAGTTAAGCAACTGAATACCAGTTGGAACCCTGAGGGTAAACTGAAGGCAAAGTATTTAGGGAGGAGGTCAATTTCTGACTTGGTAGCCAAGTGCTTTGTGTTTTGATGCTAAGGTGTTGGGTGAGATGAGATAGAGAAGATGAAATGCAAAGATTTATTTCTGTGTGCTATCTCATGCAGTCTAGCAAAAAAAAAGATGCAGAAAATGGAAGACAGCCAATTCTTAATGAAATAATGTCTGGAATTTTCTGTAATTTATGAAAGACATAAATCCTCAGATTTAGAAATCTCAATTCCTAGGAAGGGAAACAAAAATAAATCTACTGCTAGATACCTGTGAATTGAAACTGTGGAACCAAAGGAGAAACTTTAAAGATATTTTATCTGCAAGGAAAAATAATTAGAAAACTTCGTAAAAATATCTTCAAAATTATTAGAGAATATAACTGCCAGTTTAGAATTTTAAGCATACAAATGTGAGGATAAAATAAAGACCCTTTTAGACAAATTTGATTAGTCACTAATGAAATTTTAGCAAAGGAATTCCTTTAGAGAAACAAGAAAATTTAACCTAGTAGGAAGGCATATACACAAAAAAAACAAAGAATAGTGAACAGAGAAATTAGTGTGCCTTATTGAATATAAGTAGATTTTCATAATGTTTGGGAAACTTACCTATTCAATAGAGAACACTGGAAAAAATACTGACCGAGAACTAGGTCACAAAGCAAATTGGGATAGAACAAATAACTTTGTTTGACATGGTGCATTTAAATTAGAAATTTAAATTAAATTAAAAATCAGTTATAAGGGAAAATAATTAACAGCCGCCCTCCCCACCACACATGTACAAACATCTAGAAAGTCAAAACTGAATCAAACCAAAACAACCTCCCCACCCCAACTCTTTTAAGTCAACGCAGGTCAAAGAAGAAATTACATAATAATTAGTAATTGTTTGGAATTGAACTGTAATGAAAATACAACATGAAACTTATGGGATGCAGCTAAACCACTACATACAGAGAAATTAATAGCTTTAAATTTTTATACCCAAAAAGGAAACAAATAAGATGGAAAAGGCACAAGCTACCTTTCCAACACAGGAAACTAGTGAAGGAACAACAGAACAGTGAAACAGAAAACTAGTAAGTCAATATTTATTCAACTTTTGGCTGGAACTTAAGGTACAAACTTAATATGAAAATTGGGGAAATAAGGGACTGTTGATAGAGATGTTTTGAGAAGATGAACACTCAGCTGGACATTACAACTTGATGTATAGATGGAGTTTTATTTATTCTATTCTAGTTTCACTTATTATAAGGTTAAGTTTCTTCATAAGTTTGTTGCTAACATGGGTAAGGAGCTTTCTTAGAATACTGAAAGGTGGGCAGCCCTGGTGGCTCAGTGGTTTAGCACCGCCTGCAGCCTGGGGTGTGATCCTAGAGTCCCGGGATCAGGTCCCACGTCGGGCTCCCTGCGTGGAGCCTGCTTCTCCCTCTGTCTGTGTCTCTGCCTCTCTCTCTCTGTGTGTCTCTCATGAATAAATAAAATGTTAAAAAAAATAAAATCTTTTAAAAAAAAGAATACTGAAAGATTTATTAGAATAGTTTCAAGAATTTTGACTTACAACTTTAAAAATGACTGTTAATGGAAAAGTGCATTTATCTGACTATTGGAGGAAACCATTTATCACTTAAAATTGCAAGCTCTACTCGTGTTTATTTTGACCAACAACTTTCTCATAATTGATTCATTATGATTTTACTGATATAGCTCTAATTAATAAAATTGTGTTCAGATTTTTTTAAAATCAGGAATATT